CATCAGGGCTGTCACTGCGGGGGTGGAGGGGACAGAGATGTGAGGACTCGGTGTGAGAAGGAAGCCCCTCTCCCAGGCTTGAGTACAGGGACTCTGAACCTACTGAGGAGCTCCTGGGATGGACCCAGCCAGTCACCCTGCACCTGACCCCGAGAGCCAGGACTCACTCACGTCACAAAGATGGGGTAGATGAGGTTGGAGGCGTCGAAGGTGGCGGCCGAGCACTGCCAGGAGCGCAGCACGGGGTGGAAGTACCCGCTGTGGAGGACAGAGTCTGCCTGCATGGTGGCTCTGCTGGAGGCTGGGCAGGGAGGCTCTGCAACACCAAAAGAACCCGGCAGGGTCCTGGTAAACTGCTGAGGAGGGGGCTGAGATCCAGGACTGTCCCTGTCTCGGTCCCCTGCAGCCCCTCCAGCTCCATCCCACCTCCCATGGGCACTGCCCTGTGCCTGGTGGGTGCTGCAGGACCCCCCTCAGCACTCACTGAACAGCCCTTCCCATAAACAGGGCTGACAGAGACTCCTCCCTGCAAAACCCCCCAGTTCTGTGTAGGAAACTCCCCAGTTTTGTGAAGGAACCCCCTCAGTTCTGTGAAGGATCCCCCCCAGTTGCAGCCACTGGGTCCTCCCACAGCAGGACCACCTTCACCCTCCAGAGGCTCCTCTGCCTGAGCACCCAGAGGGTCATTGTTCACTCAATTTACTCTTCCTCAGTGCTGAGTAACTCTGTGATAAAGCTTTGTATGCAGAGGAGTACAGAGCTGCTCTGTGCTGGAACTCAGTGATCTTTCATGTCCCTTCCAACCCAAACCATTCCATGAGGCACAACATATTTATGGCCACAGTGTGAGGGCAGTTACAGAAGAGTAGGGGCACTGCATGAGAGAGGGGCAGGATCATCCTGAGGACACCAGGGCTCTAAACCCCCCAGTCACACAACTCCAGTGGCCACTTACTGCTGGGTAAAGAAAACTGGGGACTTGGGCAAAACTGATTTCCGAGGTAACAAAGAGCAGGTACTGAACACACATAAATCAATCGTTAGCTCTGTTGTCGCTGAAGGTTCTTCTGCAGCAATATTTTCTTCTTCTCCAACAGATCAGTAATAATTCTGTGATCAGACCACTAAGATTTACGTGCCCATGAGCATTAAATTCTCACATATGTTTGCTGGTGGGTGTGATGGAAGGGGCCGTGGGAAGGCGGCTCTCCTGGGACGAGGCATTTCTTTGGCTGCAGCATAGAGGGAGCAGCTGCACAGCCCTGGAAAGCACAGTCCCAACAACAGGCTGTTTGTGCAGAGCAGCTTGGAGGACTCACACACAGGGCCACATCCCCCAAACCCCCTGTGCTGAGGGGCTGGGGTGCCCTGGGAGACAAAGCAGAGGCCCTACTGGAGAGCGTGGGATTTTTGGGAGGTTGGGCAGGGGGAGAGCTGAGATGGGCTCTGAAAGAGCAAGTGGAGTCCTGTGACTGCCCCTGGGCAGGGCAGGTCTTCCTTAGGGAGACAGAGTGGCAGGAGGATGGGACTCATTTCAGGGGAGCAGCTCCATGGTCTCCAGTCCCATTCCAGGAGGGATTCCCCAGGCAATGAACCTCACTGACCCCCTGCCTGTACTTGGCTCTCTGGAGAACAGGCACAGCTCAGGCACAGCTCAGAGCATCCTGGGACAGAGTCCAGGGCACCCACAACACCAGGCAGCAACGGAGCTGTGCAGGAGATGGCTCATTTTTTTCTTGGGGAAAACCTTTAATGTGAGGTGTTCACCTATTTTACACACTCAATACCCTTCAGATATTCTACTACTGAGCCAAACTCAGTCTGTGTCAGCCCCTCCCAGTGCCCAGGGCACTTGGAACAGGGGGCACTGCATTGCCCAGGGCTGGAATTGAGCCTCTCATACCCTGAGGAATCACTTCTGGGGATGGGGAAAGGCCCCTCTTGGTTACACGGATGAAACCACTGGATAAAAAACCCAGGTGGTGCTTGTGGGGGACGCAGGGCAGCTGACAGGCACGCTGGCAGCGCCATGGCATCCCTTGGCAGGTCATTTTTAGCCCTTGGAAAGCTGCCCTGCCAGTCCTCGCTCCAGGGAAGGGGACAGCCCTCGGGTGAAGCGGAGCTGGCAGCTCCCCACGGTGCCTGGCTCCGGGGAGCCACGGCAAACAAAGGGCTCAGTGAACAAACCCCACCTCGAGAATCCGAAAAATGCTCCGAACAGTTAATCCCGGGGGGAGCAAAGGGGAGGGGGGCCGGGTGGGACCAGAGGCACCTGACTGTATGGGACAGATAGAGGCCACAGCTCCAGAAACTGCCCTCTCCGGGCAAGGAGGGGATGGGCACGTGGTGGGATGGCAGGGAGGAGATAAGAGCAGGGACGGGTGGGCCCTGGTGGGGCTGAGCCTGAGCTGGGTCCTGCTCAGCAGCCCCACGAGCAGGAGAAGCTGCTGCCGGGGCAGGGCACTGGGGTGGCACTGCTGGGACCAGCCTGCCCCACGGGCACGGGCAGGAGTGGGCACTCAAGGGACACTGCTCCACACGCTCACCCCGGCCTGGGGCTGTTCCCCCACATCCCGCAGGGCTCCCGGCACAGCACACCTGCCTTTCTCCCGCCTTCGAGCCCCGAATCTGTCTGTCTAAAGCCATTTGCTCCGTGCACACTAGAGCAGCTCCGGGAGGGCGTTAAGGACAGCCCTGCAGCTCCAGCAGGAGGTTAAGGACAGCCCTGCGTTCACCTTTGCCCCAGCACACCGGGAGCAGCCCCAACCCGCAGCACCCGCACCCACCCCTTTGCCCAGCCCGGGCTGCACCAGAAGGAAGAGAACGAGCTGCCCGGGGACAACCTGGCCCCGCCACCGACCAACCAAACCTCGGGGACGGGCTGAAGCCAGGCCTGACCCTGCTCCCATTAAAGCCGGACCCGGCGCTGCTCCAGCCCCCGACGCCCCCCCGAAGCGGGGGGGTTTGTTCAGTGCCAACAAGAGGCCCGAGGAAGATGTTTTTAGGACACAGAAGCGCACGTGGCCTCATCCTTTGCCACACAACTATTTAGATAAATCCCAGGGATACGCAAACTCCCAAAACCGCCGGCGGGAGAAGGGACAGACTGGGGTGTTCTAGGAAAGCGACCCAACGGAGCTGGGGGTTAATGAACAGCCACTAACAAAGGTCAAGCTGTTGCAGCGTTAATTAAGAGTCAGTAGCAAAGGCCAAGACGAAACAGGTTAATTAAGAGTCACTAAAGAAGGTCAAGCCCTTCCAGCAGGTTTCCTGCTGCAGGATGGGCAGGGGGGCGCTCAGGGGTCTGTAATCACATCCCAGCACGGAGGGGAGCTCAGCACCGCTGCCAGCTCGGAGCATCACACGCTGCTCCGTGCTTGCCCCGCCGTTGCCACGGCTACCGGGCAAAAAGCGAGCAAATGTGGGCAAAAACCGAGCAAAACCGGGCAAAAACCGAGCAAAACCTGGCAACCCCAGGGCTGTCCTTGCCGCGTTACCTGCGGCTGCCTTTCCTGCCTGACCCAAGCGCTGCCTCCTTGCCCGGCCGGGCCCCGTCCTTGAGGCCATCCCGGCCTGGGGGCAGCCCCAGCTCCGGTGCCGGTGCCAGTCCCCGATCCCGATCCCATTCCCGGTCCCGCACTCACCGCCCGCCCTGTCCGCTCTGGCCGCGGCTGCGTTCCCCAGCATTGCCGATTTGCATAGCCACGCCCCTCATTAGGGTAGCCCCGCCCACTCGGGGGCGTGGTGGCGGGAAGTCTCGCGCGGCGCAGCGCGGGAAAAGGGCGGGAGGGAGGAGGAGGAGGAGGGGTTTTTGGGGGGCGTAGGGGGCTGGGGCGGGGATAGGGGGGGCAGAAGGCAGCTGGGGAAGGCACCCAGAAAGGGCTGGGTGACCGTGTGATCCTGTTTTAGGGTGTTGTGGGGGGACCTGGAGTCACGTTTGGGGTGCTGCAGCGGCGTGGAGCCGGGTTTTGGGGTGGTGGAGGGTCGTGCAGTCCAGTTTCGGGGTGCTGTGGAGGGACGTGGAACCTCTGTTGGGGTTTGGGGGAGGCGTGGAGCAGGGCTTTGGGGTGCTGGAGGACCATGTAGTGCAGTTTTGGGGTGTTGTGGGAGCACCTGGGCCCAGGTTTTTGGGGTGCTGGGGGAGGCTGGAGCACAGCTTTGGGGTGCTGCAGGGGTGTGGAGCAGGACTTTGGGGTGGTGGGTCGTGCTGTCCAGTTTTGGAGTGCTGCAGGGAGGAAGTAGAGCCTGGTTTTGGGGTTCTGAGGGAGGCTAGAGCAGAGCTTTGGGGTGCTGGGGTGACATGCAGTCCAGTTTTAGGATGCTGTGGGAGGACTTGGAGCCAGTTTTGGGGGCTCTGGCAGGGCCAGAGCAGGGTACTGGGGTGCTGAGGATCAGAAAGCAGGGTTTGGGGTGCTGTGTGAGCGAGGAGCATGGCTGGGTGGTAGCAGGGAGCAGGGTTTTGGGGGGCTGCAGAAGCCTGGAGCAGGGCTTTGTGGGGGCTGGGGGCCTGCCAGGCCCAGGGAAGCCACAGCCCCACTGCAGGCTCAGCTGCAGTGCCACTGCCTCGGCCTCCAGTGCAGGGGAGATGCTGGGAGCGGGTTTATTTGGGGAGATCCTGCAGCCCCTGTGCCACAGCAGCATTCCCTGGCCTGCTGCAGGGCAGAAACCCTGGATCCAGCCCCTGGATCTGTCTGTGCCCCCAGCCTGGAGCCTCTCCCTGGGGCAGGGCTGAGTTCAAGTTCCCCCAGCAATACAAACACCAGCACCCTGACTTCGCTTCTCTGAGACCTGGAAATCTCCCCCTTCTTGCCAGTCTTAATTCCCTTTGCTCTTCCCACAGCCTTCATCCTCCCCTCCTCCTCCTCCTGCCATCAGCTGCTCCAGGAACCATTTCCAGGGTGTTTGCTCCTGCCTTGGCCGCTCCCTCCGTTCCCACTTACGCAACCCCAACCTGCTCATTTTATAACCGCCCGAAACACGAGACTCTGCTTCTACAAAAAAACAAACCCAAAATCTGGCTTTTATTTAGGCATCATTCCCTTCCAGAATATGCACACCAGATATGTACTGAAGAGAAAATAAAGGAAGAAAAAGAGCTGGAAGGCAGGTGTTTATCAGAGATGTTGGGAAGACGTTCAGGCTTTCCATGTGCTGACTGCAGGACAGCAGAAAATCTGTGTTGATTCAGTTCTTTTTTTCAGGAGCTGGCCTTGTGTGTGTGTGTGTGTGTGAAAATCCAGCGTGCCAGAAAAGCAGGAAGGCAGGGTTGGCTCTTGTGGGTGGCTCTGCAGCAGGGTTTTTTTTTTTTTTTTGGTGGAAAGGATCTATGAGTCCCCACAAGTGCTATTTTAAAACTGCACGTCAGCAAAACTCGTGGGTTCTACTTAAATGCACCTAAAAAACTTTCCTCAGGTTTCCTTCACCCCATCTGTGAAGTTCAAATATTAGATGTATTAGTCTCCCAAAAGTCAAATAAAGCGTTTTCCCCCCAAAGGAGCTTCCTCTCTAGGTACTTCCTCAGAGAGAGAAAGGCAAGGCATCAAAACTAACAGTCCAAGTGGAAAAGCACAAACCTGCACTGGCACAAGGGGATACAAACAGCTTATTTCAACCTTCTTTTCCTGCAGGAGCCTTTTTTTTTGAAAGCAGAGGCCTGAGGTTGAGCCTCCTGGGTGGGCACATCCTGCCCACTGCTCCAGGAGGTATCCATGTCCCTGGAATGACCAGCAAAGGCTACAGAGGGGTCTTGGATGGAATTAGTCCATTCCAATTGGGAAAATTAAAAAACAAAAACAAAACCAAGGCACCACAATCCACCACTCTGTTCTGCCACATTTAAACTTGCTGCAGGAGCTGCAGCTCCTCAGAGGAGGGACAGGTGACACCACCAGACCCCCAGGGCCACACACCCAGCACTGCTCAAAGCCACCTGTTTGTACCCCTGGAGCTCATTTTAACCCTTCATTTTGCTTCAGATTTTAAATTAATTTAATCTCTCAGGGCTCTAAAGACACTTTCAGTGTTCACTTTACATTTCCAGGGCTGTGAAGCGTTTGGATTGAGGGTGGTTTGGGTGATCAGTGAGTGGACTCATGGCCCCTGGATGGCCAGCCTGTAGTGCTGCTCAGGCTGAAGGACAGAGGCACTGTCAGCACAGCAGGGAGAGAAGGCACAGCCAGGATGTGAGGAAACACAGGCAAAAAAAAAATGAATCCCTTGGATCAAAGCTAAAATGTCCAGCTTCCAAGCCTCCTGACATCATCACCTGGGTTCTACACCCCAGAGGGTTAATGGTCTGCTGGATTCAGCCCCTGAGGTTCAGGAGTTCTCATGTCCTCTCTCTCTCAGCTTCTGCACTGAGCACCTTGCCAGCTCTTTTATCCTCTATTTCAGAGCCAACCCAGCACCAAAGGTCTGCCCAGAGGAGGGAGGGGGCCAAGCCCCCCAGGCACAGGAGGAGCTGCCCTGCCAAGGGAAAAGCTTCAGCACAAGTCCTTTATGTCCAAATTAAAGCCCCAAAGGGACAGGCTGCAGAGGGCCAGCACAAAGCTCTAATGGAAACAGGACACAGCAAGGTTGATTTACAGTGTTTATATCCCTCTGCACACAGCCCGGCCCCTCTCGGCCAGCTCAGTTGTCCACCTCCTCCTCGTCGTTCTGCTCTTCCTCCTCCATCCTTTCATCATCGTCATCATTGTCTTCCTCTCGGCTTTTATCCTGCTCCTCTGAGTCTGCCTTCTTGTCTTTGTCCTTCCTGGCTTCCTTCTTCCCCTTCTGCTCCCTCCTGTAAACTGAAGGAGAGGGAGCAGTGAGGGATCAGCGCTTCCCTGGCACGGGCAGGGCAGCGGCTGAGCTCCAACACCCCCTGCTCTCCCGGCTCACCAGGGGGGCAGCGAGCCCAGAGCAGCAACTCACCCTACGAGCTGAGCTGTGCTGAGCAGCTCCATAGGAAAGCAGGTTAAATTTCAGCAGAAAAATGCTGAAAAGGACGCAGGAGTTCACATTTACGGGCAGCACCTACGGCTTTCCTTAGATAAACATAATAGGGGAGTGAGGGCAGATGAGACTTGCTCAATCCTCATCAGTTGTGCAATAATGTTATCCCAGTCCCGTTAAGGTGCACATTAGTTACTCCCCAGGCAAACTGCAGTGTAGGATGCTGGGCAAAGAGAAGAGAGACAAGACAGGCAAGTAAGTGTTGCTTGTCCAGCGTTCGAGGAAAACACGACTCGGTGCTAATCAGACTCCCTTGACACAAACAAAGGCCTGTACCTTCCAGGGATTCCTTCAGAGGGACCATGAACCTCTGGAACTCCATCTCCTCCATGGCAGAGAGCACATCACCAGCATTCAGCGTTTTCCTCTTCCCCTTCATGGCAAAGTTATTTGCACTGGGAAAAAAACAAGGCAAAACCAAGAAGTAAAAGAGAGGCAGTTGGGAACTGTCATCAACTCAGCCTTGTCTATTAAAAGTCACAAACAACTTAAAAAAAACATAAAAGCCATCTCCTAAACATTTAGAGGTTTTTTTATCTCCTTCTAATGGAGGTTTGAGACACTTTCCTGTTTACACTGGCTGTCTGTGCTTTCCCACATTAGTTTTCTGCTTGCACAGACCTTTTCTACAAGCAGAGGGAAGGAGAAAGCCTGAATGCTGGCTGTGCCAGTTCCCCACAGCCCTGTGAGTCTTTGACACCAGAGAAGTGACTGCCTGGACACCCCAAAAACCTGACTGTGCCCTCTGAGGCAGCTCCAGGTTGGCTCTCACTTGCCCTAACATAGTGATACTAAAAAGTGAGCCAAGTGCTCCTGCCTTTGCCAGGAAGAATGTGCAGCCTTGTTCTAAGGTTAATGGCAGTTTGGGACCCCTCTTTTTGGGACATCTCTGTGTCCCCAGCCCAGCTGCCTTCCCATGGGTTGTTACAGGCAGTTCAAACCCACCTGCTGCAGCCTGGCAGGACTGATTGATAGACAATACAGAAACAAACACAGGGAAAGAGCCTCCAGGCCAGCAGAGAGGTGAATTATCAGCCAGCTGCACCCAGTCCTTACCAGGACGTTGCATACAGCACAAACACACTTGCTGCTCGGGATATCGCGCTCCGGGCTTCTTTGGAAATGTTGACTCCATCAGGAAGCTGGAAAACAAATTCAGCTTTTATCAGCAGCTGCTAAAGATGACTTAAACTCGCCTAATTCATGTGTCAGTTCTGTTAAGGCATTCAGAAGGCCTGGAACAGGGAACTCGGAGGTTCCCAGCGCTGAGGGAGCTCTGGGGTGCTGTCACAGCTCTGATGCAGCTGAAAGCCACCTGCAGTGACTGTGTCCCCTCAGTGCCCCGAGCAGAAGCCGAGGGACTCCTGGGCTGGGGGGTCTGGCCGCTATTCCCGGGGTAACTCATCCAGTGACTTCCATCTCCTGTCACACCCCAACCCCCTGCCAGACCCACATCCACCCAGCAACGTCTCACAGCTCCACACCCAATTAATTATATTAACCACCGGGAATTATTGTAGATTTTTTACACGGACACGGGGGTTTGCTGTGAGCTTTCGGGGGGTTCTGACAGTCCCGCTGCAGGACCTGCCTTGCCGCTGAGCTCGGCCTTGGAGCATCCCTTGGGACAGCGCAGCCCGGACCGAGCCCGGGTGTCCCCCCGGCATCCCAGAGGGGACAGTGCCAGCACAGCTGGGAGGGGCTCGGGACACTGAACGGGGACAGGGACCGGGCTCACTGCGGTGTCCGAGGGTCTCCAAGGGCCGCAGCCCCCCGTGCCCCGCTCCTCCCGCCGCGGGCCCGGCACCCACCGCCTCCTTGATGATGCGGGTGATGACGGCGTTGGGCAGGTTCAGGTCCTCCGGCCGCTCCGCCATCCTGCGCCTCCTGCAAGGAAACCGGGGGGTCAGGGGCGGGTCCCGGCGGGGTTGGGGGGTCCCGGCGGGGTTGGGGGGTCCCGGATCCCGGCCCGGCCGCACCGCAGCCCGCGCTCCGCCGCCCCGCCCGCTCCCGGCGCGCACCGCGACACCCGCCCCGCCCCGGGAACCGGGAATGGCGGGAGACGGGGACGGCAGGGATAGGGAAGGGATGGGGGATAACGGATAGGGGCAGGGATAAGGATAGGGGATAAGGGATAAGGATGAGGACAAGGATGAGGACAGGGACGGGGATAGGGATACGGATGGCGATGGAAGCAGGGATGGAGATGGCAGGGATAGAGATGGGGATAGCAGGGATGGGGATGGGGGTGGAAGCAGGGATGGGGATGGCAGGGATAGGGATAGGAGCAGGGATAGGGGCAGGGAATAGGCCAGGAGCGGCAGGGAGAGAGGTAGGGGCAGGGATAGGGGCAAGGGAAAGGGAAAGAGTAAGGGATGGGGATAGGGGCAGGGATAGGGACAGGCTTAGGGGCAGGGGAAGGGAAAGGGAATAGAGATAGGGGATAAGGGGAAGGAAGGAATAGGGGATAAGGGGAGGGGCAGGTATGGCTCTAGATATAGGGACAGGTGTAGCTGTAGGGACAGGGGATAGGGATAGCTAGGGATAAGGGCAAGGATAAGGGCAGGTATAGCCATAGGGGCAAGTGTAGTGCCTGTGATGGGGCAGCTGCAGGTGTAGGGACAGGTGTAAGGTTGGGGACAGCTGTAGATGTAGGGGCAGCTGTAGGTGGTGCTACACTGCAGTGACTGGGAGTTTGTGGGCACTGTTGGGGCTGGGAGTAGGAGCAAGGACAGAGAGGGAGAACCTGGGGAGGGAAAGCCGATGGGACAAGGATCTGGGAGCTCCTGAGCCTGAAAGGCATTCAGTGAGTTCCTAACCCTGTGAGTCACTTCACACCTCTTCCCCCTCCTTAATGCTGAACAGATCCACCCCCCGTGCTGTGCAGAGCCAGATATGGCTGAGGGTGAGTCAGAGGGACAGGGCAGAGCTCAGGGCATGCCCTGTTGGCTCTCAGTGGTGTAACCAGCAGCAAGAGACCCAGTGTCCACAAGGCTGAAGGCAGGGACACAGGGACACATCCCAGACTGGTATGGGATGGTGGTACAGGGGATTGCATTTGCCAGTTTAAATTTGTCTGGGAGATTGTGCATGGTTTGGGTTTTTTTTAATGGAAAACATACTATTTTGATACACTTGACATCATCATTTTGAATAGGAAATAAGCTTTTTTTGGTCATTATAATTTATAAATTTTAAAGTGCATCAGTCCTCTAACTTAGAGCTAATGTCTGGAATCATTCTGGTTTTCCTTTCCCTAAAGACAAGCCAGGCAGAGCCCAGTTCCCAGTGGATGTAGGTGTCCCATGCAGGTGTCACTCACACACTTCTCTTCCTCAGGCCCTCCAAGGTTACATCATCTCTGACAAAGGCCTCCAAATACAGCACTTTTCACTCTCAAAATACCTTCCTGGCCTGCTTTTTTTTAACCATATATATTAATTCAGCAGTTCTAACTGTCAAAAAAAATTCCAGCCTGAGATTCTGCTGATGGAGTGGACTCTCCCGTGTGCGACCCGAGAAAGGCACTTGACAAATCCCATGTTCCAGGTCAGGAGCTATTTCCAGCTGCGTGGGCCGACTATTGCATTAACTCTTAACTTTGTTACTGCCTTTGGGAAGTGCTGTGCACAGGGAAGCTGCAGGGTAACCTCTGGGTCACCTTCCCCGGTGCTCATTCGGGTTTGGGGGGCCATGGATCTTGTTCCTGTTTGCTCTGTGCTTCAGTTCTGCTGTCCAGGCCTGAACTCTGCAGCGGGGTCAGGCATTCTCTCACCTGGACAGATGAACCTCCTGCTCTTTAATAACGTTGGGAAAAGTGAGTGTTTTCAGCTTGGAGGGATGGGAGAGCCTTCCTGATTGTGGGTAATGGAATCAGGGTGAAGCAATATGTGCAGTGATCAGGCTGGGCTCTGCTAATTGATCCAGAATTCAAGTTAATCCACAGAAGTGGCTTAAAGGGGCCCCAGTAAGGCTGGGCTAATGGTGTGGCACCACCCAAATGGGATCCAACTCCTTCTGTGGCTGCAAAATGTACAGAAAATTTGATCCAACTGTAGTGGAAAGTCCTTCCATTGAAAATGGTTTGGGGCTGGGCAGCTATTTGGGGAAAATGTCCCTTTTGCCTCCTCTATTCTTGTGTTCTCCCCCAGGCATCACTTTCTGACAGGAAACAGGACACTGAGCTTTGCCTCACCCAGTGGGTCTGCTTTTATTTTCTTAAATGTTCCTGAATATTCTTATACTCTTAAATATTCTTGGAAAGATCCCTCACTGGGAAAGTGGTGGGTCACTGGAACAGCTTCCCAGGGGAAGTGCTCGTGGCACCAAGCCTGCCAGAGCTCCAGAAACATCTGGAGGATGCAATTAGTCATATAATTTTTTTTCTTTTGTAGTCCTGCAAGGAGCAGGAGGTTGGACTTGATGATCCTTGTGGGTCCCTTCTAAACCTGAGAGACTCTGTGTGCCTGCTCCCCTGCCTGGGCTAAAGGGGGGAGTCAGGATCATGGAGCTATGGGGAGAAAAAGGAGGCAGCTCCCTTTTCAGATGCAGCTTTCAACTCAATTAGCTCAACCTGAGCATAAAAGTGTAGGAGAACCTTGGTATATTTGATTTCATAACTTGGTGCAGCCTCAGAGGGAGGTTTCACCAGAAGGCAAAGGAGATCTCTGCCAAGAAAAAGGGACATTTACCCCTTTCTGTTGTGCCCCAGGACAAGGGGAATGGCTTTAAACTGAGGGAGAGTAGATTTAGTCAGGAAGGAATTCCTCCCTGTGAGGGTGGATGAGACCCTGGCACAGGGTGCCCAGAGCAGCTGTGGCTGCCCCTGGATCCCTGGAAGTGTCCCAGGCCAGGCTGGACAGGGCTTGGAGCAAACTGGGGTAAGTGGAAGGTGTCCCTGCCCGTGGCAGGGAGTGGAATGAGATGATTCTTAAGGTCCTTTCCAACCCAAACCCATCTGGGATTCTGTGATTTTGGCATTTGATCTCTCTCTCTCTCCCCCATCATAAGCCCTGGCTGAATCTCTGCTGTGCCAGTGCCAGGAATGGTTAATTTTCTGTGAAATCAGTGAGCTAAAGGGGCTGACTGGGAGTGCCAGAGCCTGGGTGGAGCCCTGGGAAGCAGGATCCAGGTAAATGGTCTCAGTTACCTGATGCAGCAGCTCAGCTCTTTGCTGCAGCTCCACACTGAGCGCAGAGTTCAGCTCAGGTGACAGTCAATAACTTCTTAAGCTGTTTTAACTTAATTACCTTGATCCATTTGAGCATTCTAAGGCCAAAGCATCGTTCCCAAGAGACCTTTTGCTGTGTTGAAACCGATCTCTTTTATGGGAAGTGTCACTAAAGACCCGGCTTGATTATTGTATTATTTTTATTGCATTAAAATAAATCAGCAATGGATTAATAATCAGCATTTGTCAAAATGCTGCAGCAGGACTGGATGCTCGGATCAGACACCCTCTAAGAGACCTGGAATGTCTCACAGGGCTGCTCTTCACCAGTGTCATCAGGGCTTCAGAGCACAGGGAGAAGAGTGGTGCCATGAATTTATGTACTGCTGTAATTAGCTGTGCTTTTAATCAGCTCTTTAAAAAGGTGTAAGGCAGGCATGTGTTAAATGGCCCGAAAAAGTCCCACTGCCTTAAGGAAATGCAAAACCAAGGGCAAAGCCTTGAGCTGGGGGGATTTTGGGGTGTTTGGGGACTGATCCCAAGTGAGGTGGGTGCCCAGCCTACTGTTAGCCTGCAGGCTAGACAAGGCCAAAGGAGAAAAGGAGGACAAAAAAAGAAATAAAAAGTAGTTTATGGGTTTATGGTGCCACATTAATGCTCTGGGCTCAGTGTCTCAGCCTTCTGAAGGTGAATTAGCCTGTGCTGAATCAGAGAATCACAGGATCACAGAATGGTTTGGGTTGGAAGGGACCTTAAAACTCATCCATTCCCACCCCCTGCCATGGACAGGGACACCTTCCACTAGCCCAGGTTGCTCCAAGACCTGTCCAACCTGGCCTTGGACACTTCCAGGGATGGGGAGTCCCCAGTCCCTGGATGGATAACCCATGGATTGCCAGGCCCTGCAGGAGCTGTTCTGTACAGGGTGTTTCTGGAGTGCCCAGGAAGCATCACTGGGCTGCTAAGGGATCCCTCTTCCAAATTAACCCCTGGGTGTTCAAGACAGGTGAAAATCTGCATGGAAATAAAAGAGCTTCTGGCTCTCCCACCTTCTCTGCTGCTCTCGGGGAGAGACATGGAGTTTGGGGAGTAGCTCTAACACAAACCACACCATTGTTGTAGCTGCTCTGGTTTCAGCCACAGTTTAGCCTTAGAATGGAAAGGGTGAGGGACAAGGTGAACTGTTTTCAGAGTTCAGCAAGCTTGGCCTGCCAAAGGATGGGCACAGGAACAATTCCTTGTGCACTCAGGCTGGTCTGTGCTCTGCATTCCTGGGGAGCAGCCCAGATTCCTGGGGAGCTGTCCCAGCCCCTGCTCTCACAGGGTTTGTCCCAGAGCCTCTGCCTGCCCTGGGAACACTCACTGTGCTTCAGGCCAGGGCCATCCTGAGTTCTGACAGCGCTGCCTCACCAGTGCAGAGCCCAAGAATCACTGTGGGGTGGCCCCTTTGCACGTTCAGACCGTTAATTTTGTGGGGAAGGGGCAGAGAGATTTGGAAAAAGGGATCACCCAAAGAGGTTTGTTACCCAAAACTACGGCTGCAAAGTGTCAAGTCCTTTGGAGATGCAAAGTTCTTGTGAGACTCTGGACATGGCTCAGGCTCTGATGTGTCACCAAAGCAGCTGTGCTGTCCTGGGGGCCCTGTTGGGATCCTGTGCTGGCTGTGGGGACACTGTGGAAGGGGATGGGTGGCTTTGGGCAGAGGGCAGAGGGCAGGAGCAGCCCATGAGGTGTTTGTTAGTGTTGGGTCAGGACTCATTTAACCCCCAGTGCAACGTTCTCTCCGGGCTGGGAGAGGGGCAGTTTTCCAGGAATGTGGAGTCCCGAGT